CTTTACATGACATTCATTTGATTGAAAAGATTTAAACGTTTAAAGCTTATATTAAAATATCTGTAGTGTAAAAATTTACATTTAGAAAAATTACAATGCAAAAAAAAAATAAATAAATAAAATCTTATCCTTAGACTCTGAGTAATCATTACTATTAATTGTGATTGAAGTTGTGAGCTGAATAGTTTTGCTCATCTTGTTCCTCTGCTTCCATGGGGACCTCCCTGTTTAATCCTGTGTGTGTGTGTGTGTGTGTTTTGTCCGTGTCCTTTAAGGTCCCCCAGCTGGACTAGCTGCCTGGCCATCATTAATCTCTGTCACCACCTAAAGAGCCACTTAAGATGATGTAGGACCTGTCTGCACACATACCTTCACTACCCTCACAGGGTGTGATGCAGCAAAGAACACACACAAACAAAGCCCCCAATCAAGCCCAGATAACTAAAAGTATGTCTCCTTATGATTTGTAGTAATTCAGAAGATAATTTAGAGCTTTTGTTGTTGCTTTTGTGTTCTGATGGTAACTGCAGCCCGATCCTGAGGAACCCAGCGTAGGTCATCTGTTCAGGGTGATATACAAAGGGTGAGCAGCCATGTGGCCCTATATTTCTGAGAGCTTCTACCCCGAGATTAACACGTCCCACTTTCTCACCACCCACCGTCAGCTCCTGTCCCAGGAGTCCCTTCCCCATCCATGTCGCAGCCCCCACCGTCACACCGCAGGGGCAGCCCCTGCATCGGCCTGGCCTCATCTGCTGCCTGCCACCAAGCTCTCGCATCTCCAATCAATAGTCCTCACTGAAGTGCTCAATTTCCACTGGGGGTGGAGAAGATGGCGGAGGGGAGGGGTGGGAAGGACAGATGTATTTGATTGTCTCCTCAATTCCCCCACCTTCTGCTACGGTGTGCTTGTTTAGAAAGTGTGTGTGTGTGTGTGTTCCTGCAGTAGTGTTATGAATCAGTAATCAGAGCGGTGACACACCTGAGCAATGCCCTCATCCCCCTTGGGTGCCATACATTATAAATCAAAAGAGTGAATTTGCATAGAGCCTGTTTATTATTCCAGATTTCGCCTCTACAAAAGTAAGCTAAGGGTTCTAATCATGATAATGAGCGGTGCTGACTGTGAGCTTTTCATTAGTTGTATGCAGAGAGGGCACAGGGAATAAATGATATTATTAGTTTTTGATTTAGAGGACTGCACTGTGAGCTTTTCTCCTGCACAGACAAAAACAACAGAAAACTTTGAATATCATGCAACTTTCCGAATGAAGTCCCACGCTGTACCTGTAACCCTGTTCTTGCGCGGGTCTGGTAAATCCCCATGGAGAGAGAAATGCCAAGAAGAAAAAAATAAAATCCACAGACCGATATCAGAGAGGAGCATTTTGGATTTGCTAGATAACTTTTGCAGTTTGATATGAATGTATTTTCTTTTCTTTAACCAGCCTGTTTTCTGCCTAAATCATAATACAGTGGGGCACACAAGGGGAGAGACTAATTACAGCCAGCCCACTACCAGCCAAGTAATTGTAGGCGAAGTAAAGAACAAGTATCAAGGAAAAGGAGCAGGTGCTTGCTGATGGAGGAAGCCTTGCTGCCCGGTGGGAGATCTAAGAGGGGAGGGTAGGTGTGAGCTGGACAGGGCCTGGGGTTATTACTCTAATTGACACTTCACCTCACACACATGCACACGTTCCCCAGGGGCCAATCAGAGAGCCCCGGCTCTGCATTGGAGGGATGGATGGGAGGCTGGCACAGGTGCTGCCAGCGAACGTATCAGGGGTGTAATTGCACTGCTGATATTTGTCTATCCCCGTGTCACGCCACCAGACGCCAAACCCCCCCAACCACAAACACACACACAGCCCATTAACCCTACAGGTCCTATTGAGAGCAGCGTTCCTTTGAAAGCCTTCAGGGCCCCTGTGTTTTACACTCAGAATATAATAATGCACAGAGGTGCTCACGCTCACTGGTGTCCAACAGTAGTAATTGAGAGACAGGGGATGTGATGGAGGTTACATAGTTCACCCTGCTGAGTGTGCTTTACCAGAGTTGGCCAGAGTACAGTCTGTGTTTATGCATTTCTCTTTCAGTACTTTAATGGTGGGGAGGGGGGGTTGATATGAGTTAAGCTGTCTCATATATATGTAGGTTTGTGCGTCTTTGACAAACTATACAGGCCAAAGAGATAAAGGATCCAAATACTTGCGTGTTGATTGGAATAAATCAAAAATCCGGCGTATTTAATTGCACTTGTCATCCTTACATCTCGCTTTTTATACTTCTTTTGCATGAAGCAGTTTTACTGAACCTCAGTTGGCCTCGGCAGATCTGAGCCTCCTTCTGCTGGAGGTTTCTTCCTGTTAAAGGGGAGTTCTTACTCTGCTCTTACTTCATGCATGTTTGGTGTGAGGGATTGCTGTAGAGTCAACGTCCCAATGCAAGCAACTGTCTGTTGTTGCTAGATGCTCATCCAGGAGGAGTGAATACTGCAAAGTCAGTGACTTGATGCAATCAATTGGATGAAAATCTTTGAGGCAATCAATCGGTATGATTTTATTAAATGGTTAATATAGCTTGAACATAGTTTTGAAAATCATATATTATGTCTTCAATAAAGGTACAAACATCTGACAGATTAATTTTCCATTTCCATTTTTTCTTTATCTTAATTCTTTATCTTTGGGTGTTTTGTCCCAAGTTAATGAAAGTGTTTATGGGCATTCTAAGAATAAGGACTGGTTATGTTTTTGTTCCATCCATATTCTCCTGCTTAGTCCTTGTAAGGGTCATGTTGGGGCCGCTACGCATCTCCGTCAGTCAATGGACAAGAGGCATGGTACACCTTGGACATGTTGCCTGTCTGTAGCAGGGAAACACAGAGACAAACAAAGACACACAACTAAGGATAATTAACGTAACAAGCATGTTTTTGGACTGCAGGAGGAAGCCGTAGTACCCTGAGAGAACCCACGCATACACAGGGAGAACATGCAAAATCCATGCAGAACGATACCCGGGTCAAGAAGTAAACCAGAAAACCTTCTTGCTGTAAGGCAACAGTGCTAACCACTGCAACACCGTGCAGCCCATGTTTTTTGTTTCCATTTTGTAATCCTGAAATCATCCAGACATAAGTTGCAGAGATGCTCCTAACAGTTTGCCAGGGATCATCTCTGATTAGTGATTGAAGGTCAAAAACAGGAAAATTTAGTATTTTGTCCAGGGCATTAAATGCATCAAAGGAACGATTCGAATGAGAGCATTTAAAGGAATATAATTATATTCTATTTGATATTAACACTACCAATCCACAAAGAGCGTTTTTTTTATGTCTTGTGTTTGGATTTCAGTAAAATCTGGTTTGAATCCAGTGACTCCTAATACTGTACACACATCTACAAAAATTCCCCCAAAATGTTTTGAGGATGGTTTCTAAATAAGATGACATTTTAAATGACAAATATTTTTTGTAAAATATAAAAGAAGTTTGTCATTTTTATTTTATTTTTTTATTTTATTTTTTGCATTCTAGTGAATGTGATCAATCTCATTTAGCTTAAGGGATCAAAATTAACAGAGAACTTACTAAGGTTAAAAATTGTTCCATGGAGGTGTTAAAACAGTTATAGCAGGAGTAAATACTTGTATATTAAAAAAAAAAACTCCCACAATAACAAAAACTATAGGTTTCATTAAAGTTGTTCTGCTATAAAAGGTGACTGGGAGGTCATCTTAACTCGGGAGGAGATAAAAGGCCTTCCAAAAATATACAGTTTGTGCTCGATAAGTGAAAACTGTTGTGTCTCCCTTATGCCAATAAGCAATGAACCTGCAGGACAGAAGCCAAAGAAAAGCAGGCTTGGCTAAAATCTCTATAAACAAGGACAATATGTCATGATCTGATTAAAACAAATATAATGTAATTTCATTTCATCATTTCCAAAAGGTATTTTTGGCATGGAACCTACATTAATCATCATCAAAAGAACAGCGTACCCTATAGAACATGATGGCAACATCATGATCTGCCGTTACTTTATTCAGCTAGTAAGTAAGTAAGTAAGTAAACTTTATTTGTATAGCACTTTTCACAGACAAAGTCACAAAGTGCTTCACATGATAACATAAAAACAACACAAGTAAAAACAGATAAAATGCAATAAAAGCTATAATAAATAAGGGAATTAAACAACACGCTATGTGCTTTGGAAGGCTAGTGAAAACAGGTGTGTTTTTAGCTTCAGCTAAACTTTTTGTTCCAGTTTTTCTAAGTCGCTATTTGTTCATTTTTCCAATCGCTTTATATTTACATACCCGTTAATGCAGTTTTTAAAGCATTTCATTCAAACTACAAAACCTATTTGTTAATCTACTTAAAATGGATGATTTATTCCTCAGAAGCAAGTATACACATCAATGAATTTTTAGTGTCGTTAAATGAAAAGTACTGACAAAACTGCTGATCAAAAAGATAGTCAAATGTCTTTCATATTTTATTTGTGACAAGTTTACTCGATAAATGTTTTCCAATAAAAAAAAATTAAAATAAAAAGGCAGATCTTGGTGACACTACCCGAAGATTATAAGGCAGCATTACAATTTGCACAGCCTTTTAAAACTACAATAAAGTTATATATTACGGTATTTAACAAGCCTGGAACACCTCCCTTGGAAGGAGGCCCACTCTCAGCCCACTTTAAGCTCCCCCACTGGAGCTGAAGGAGTTTTCTGGGGAGAGAAGTCTAGGACTCTCTGCTGAGACTGCGGCTTTTTGACCCGTTCCTGGATAAGTGGAAGATGACAAGTATGTCTCAATGACTGGAAGTTTCAATGTTTTATACATAACATAACCATGAAATTGCGTTATTTCTCCTAGATTAAAATACACTATCATAGTAAATTAAAGTTGCAACGCATTTTGGTTATCTTTGTTATAGTATTGGGAAAAGATAACAAAAAAACTAATGCTTAAACTGTTTTCTGCTGATCAGGTCTCAGCAAAAACTTACGGTAGAAACAAGGTCAGAAGAAAAAGCCTGATTGTTTTATCTCTGATGATAACTGCTGCTGTCATGATCTGTTTGATATGTGCTTACAGTGTTTTATCCAAGGAGTACCAAGATGTTCTGCAAAGCGTCTCAGCAGTTGTGCAGCAGCATCAGAAGACTCTGGTGCCTGGCATGCCCCAGCTCAACATGTGTGACCTGGCAGTGATGGTGAGAGCCAAGCTACCAAAGCAAATGCATCACTCAGTAGGGGCTCATCCAAGTCTGTCTGTGCAGATAAGGTTTTATGTAGATGATGGTTAACCTGAAGGGTTGACCTTTTTAAGCATTTTATTTAAGATGTTGTCGCTTCTGGTTACACAGAAAGTAACATTCTCAAGGCTCCTTTTTTCTAATAAGCGAGAAAGAATTTAATGATTGAGAATGTCTTAAGCTCTAACATGTGCAAATATGAAGCGAACCAATCATAGATTTTTTATTAAGGAGTTCTTGCTTTGCAGTAGTTGATGATTTCATCAGCAGAATCAGAGTCTTTTGTCTGGTTGTGTTCAGTGTTTTTGTGAAGAATTCTGTTTTAATGTCATAGAAAAGACCCTGAAGTGAGCAGTTTATTCCTATAAGGCTGCCAAGGTCTTTCCTCTTCCTTATTTGTTACGTAGCAGAGCCCTCTTGTGGTCAGTACAAGATCAGTAATCTCTTCCTATTGTTTTGGTATATTTGATATGACTGCTGTAAATCAGTAGAATGTATCATTTTAAAGAATGTATTTCTCATTCCACAAACTGTTTCTTTTCATGAGTAAAACAATGAAGATTGAGTTTCATTATGGCCTATAATTAAAAATAAGCACATCCAGAAATAATTTCTTTATAAAAGAGTTCTTCATATTCTCATTTATTTTCTTTAGGTAAGTGAACGTTAGATGTCCATTCTGTTTATACAACTGCAATGTAAACAATTTTCTATATAAATGTGAACTTAAATAATTCTCAAATTAACAAACATTTGAAAGTATACATTTCCACATTTTGTTTAGACTTGCAGTGGAAAGAGAGTAATGCCCAAACACACACTTTGATATCCACCAAAAAAACAAAAACATAATGGGAATTAACAGCAGATAAGTGATGTGGTTCTCTGTGCCAATAAGATGCATCTGAAATCCAAACTGTCTAAAGATTGATAAGTTAATTTAAGGGTTTTGTAAATATTCTGTTATTGTTGTTACTGTTCCTTTCTGCAGAACTGGGCCCCTCCTGGCTGTGAGAAGTTGAGAAAGTGTCTGGAACCACCTAAGTCTTCACCCTGGAAGTGTGACTGGCCGCATTGAGATAAACACCCTGAAGAAGACGCTGAGCTGGAAAAACAAAACCTGGAGATGTACCTTTCAGCATTTAATGAACAACTTATTTTTACAGAAGTATGTTTTTTAAAACTTTGCAAAATCATTCTTATTCAAAATTGTGGAAAAAGGTACAGGATGAAACTAAGGGATTAACTGATCTGAAAGGGATGATCTATTTATGCTGATTGAGTTTAAACAGATATTGTGATTCAGTCTTCACACGTTGCACTAAACAATAAAGATTTGATGACAGTTTCTTAATGATGCATGATGAATGTTCCTGAGAGCTGTGAAGTAAGAGACATAAATGGCCTCAAATCAAAGCTGTTTTTTTCATTTTCTCCTCAATGATTTAGTCTGGTCCTCTCTTGCTTTGACTGACGTTTCCATAGTAAATAAGTAAGAGAAGTTTATTTTGATAGTGCCTTTCACAGAGAAGAGGATGTCACACACAGGAAGGAAATAAGATAAAATACAAGAAAGTTAAAAACAAAGAACAAAATATAAAACAGTAGCATTAAGTTTTGGTCTTAAAACATTTTAATGAAGTCCAACATAGAAGTAAGCGGAACACCATCAAACCTCAGCCAAAAATTATTTTTAAAAACAAAAAACAACTTACTATACTATACTATACTATACCACCTTTATCTATAAAGCACTTTTTCTTAAACATGGTCATCAAAGTGTTGTACATACAATTAGGAATAACATTCAATTTAAAACAGACACGTAAAAAATAGACTAAGATAGAAATAATAAGGGTCAATGAAACATGGGTTAAAGCTTAAAATAGGTAAAATATAGAATCAAGCTCTCAGAAAGTGCATAATGCTTTTGCAAAGGGTGTGTTTTAGGGAGAGTCTTAAACTAGTATTTTAAGCTAAAATGATGAACCTGATACTTATTATAAGAATAATCGACTTTCTGTTTTTTGCAGTATAAACAATTTAACTGCTCTAACTGGAGGAGCTTTGGGCATCTCCAGACTAAAAACAGTCCAACGCAGACCCTTCTAACCTGAGTCTTTTCTTTTGTCTTCCTATTATGAACAATGAATTTCTTACCTCTTTACTAACTGAATGATAGTAATCCGTGTATCATTCGTTCTATTTTCAATTGACAATCAAAAAATAAAAAATTGACTGGTTATTTTGTTTTTTATGGTTAAACCAACAACGAAAAAAGGATTGGGTTTTTCATATATCAATTCTAAGCTCCGATCAAGAATACGAAATGGAAAAACGGACAGCAACGCAGAATTTGATTTTAATATTTAATCGGTACAGTTTACGTGACCCGGAAGTTTGGTGGAGCGTTAGCTAAAAAAATTGGCTTACCCCTACCACGTTCGATCAAGCTGCACCAGATAAGGCAGTCGGACCCATAGATATTATGGATATCTATGGGTCAGACCTATGGTCAGGCCATGGACAGTTACGTGTTATTTCGAGGATCCAAGCGTGTGACTCTTAAAGAGGAGGACATGACAACCGAGAAAATCAGCATGATTTTCCAGGTATAACTTTTTTCTTAAAATTTTTCTGTGCACTGTACTTTTAACTAGCAACAACAAACAGCTTCTCGATCAACATGTGTGTGGTTCTAGCGTCGCCATGGTAGCCACTTCATCACCCCACTGCTGCTCAAAGAGCTATTTCCGGGTCACGTAAACTGTACCGATTAAATATTAAAATTTAATTCTGCGTTGCTGTCCGTTTTTCCATTTCGTATTCTTGATCGGAGCTTAGAATTGATATATGAAAAACCCAATCCTTTTTTCGTTTTTGGTTTAACCATAAAAAACAAACAAACAAAAAAACAGTAAATTTTTTATTTTTTGTTTTTTGATTGGCAGTTGAAAATAGAAAGAACGAATGATACACGGATTTATAGTGATTAAAGTAAAGGTTGTTTTTGTTTTGTATTTTTTTACTATCGGGGTGACATCATCTTTAACGGAGGATAAGTGGGTGTGGAGAGTGGTGGATATTAGGGTAGAATATGCAGTACTGCAGAAAAAAACATTAAAGACTTAGTGCAAAAAAAGCCACGACATCTGACAGAGTCTGTTACTACAGGCTGAGAGCAAATGTGGTTGGATTGTTGGGAACAAAGCAGAAATTATGTTGGGTTTTGATACAAACTTGATCCTGCTGAAACCAACATGACATATACTCAGTTTGGTTGTCAGTGTGAAAAGAGAAGTTGTCGCCCAACAACCCAAAAAGTGATCTTTTTCAAGCAAGGTTAAGTTTGCAGCTAGTCACATGAGCCAAGTAAAAGAAAAATGACATAAATGTTGTTTATTACTGTCTAATATACTAATTATATCAAATTATTTAGACATTATCAAATATGTTTGGATACACTGCTTTAAAACTTCTTATCATGTGTTGTTTCCTCATATATTTTCCATCTTGGTTAAACTGATTATGCAAAGAAGATTGAATAGAGAAGAGCAGGAAATTACACAATGTGAGCTTAAACTACTAAAAAAAGTCTCCAGTGTGTTGTTTCAACAGATTGCTGTCCAAACTAAAATAAGTTTGTTATGGATTAGGATGAGGAAGGACCGCATAATCTAATTTGCATTAACAGTAAAAGTCAGGTCTATTAAAAGAAACCACAGAAACTGCAGACAAGATGAGACCTTTCAGTCTGAGGGTGGCCTGTGCTCACTGCCCGGCGCCGTTGAGCTTGATCGGCATTTGCCACAAAACACCGGAATTAGCAAGTCCCCCACTGGCATCCTGTGCTTTTCACAGATGAGAGCAGGTTCACCCTGAGCACATGTGACAGACGTCAAAGAGTCTAAAGAAGCCGTGGAGAACATTATGCTGCCTGTAACATCGTTCAGCATGACCGGTTTGGTGGTGGGTCAGTGATGGTCTGGGGAGGCATATCCATGGAGGGACGCACAGACCTATACAGGCTAGACAACGGCAACGACCGCCATTAGGTATCGAGATGGAATCCTTGCATCCATTGTCAGACCCTATGCTGGTGCAGTTGGTCCTGGGTTCCTCCTGGTGCACGACAATGCCTGGCCTCATGTGGAGAGAGTATGCAGGCAGTTCCTGGAGAATGAAGGAATTGATACCATTGATTGGCCACGCTCCCTACGCTCGCCTGACCTAAATCCAATAGATCACCACTGGGACATCATGTTTCAATCCATCTGATGCCGCCAGGTTGCACCTCAGACTGTCCAGGAGCTCAGTGATGCCCTGGTCCAGTTCTGGGAGGAGATACCCCAGGACACCATCCGTGGTCTCATTAGGAGCATTCCCCGACATTGTCAGGCATGCATATACACATAGGGGCCATACAAATGACTGAATACCATTTTGAGCTGCTGCAATAAAATTTCAGCAAAATGGACTAGATTAACCCATCATTTTTTCACTGTAATTTTGGGGGTGGGCATCCTTTGGTTCCTAACACATCACCCAGTCCATATCAGTATAAATAAACAGCATGATTTTTTTGTCCCATTGAGATCTGATGTGTTTTCAAGTGTTCCTTTAATTATTTTGAGCAGTGTATATTGATAAATGTAAAGACTAATTATACTAAACATAACATTTTATTTAAAAAGCCCTCTGCAGAACTACGACTGTTAGAGTGGGAGATTTATAAAAAAAACAAAAAAAAAAACATGATTGTTTACACATCAGTTATTTCCCTTTTCAGCTCAAAGAAGCTTGCATGTTACAGGAAACAGACAAACGCGTCCTTTTGCAAATGAAAGAAACCACCATCATGTCAGAGAACGACAACCAAAAAACCTTCACCATGGATTCTACTTTTCTCAAATCCAGAAGGGGAATAGTAAAAGTGGCAGAGACGGTGAGATACTTTTGTTTCCTATTATGAACATAAGATATTTTCTGTAGGTCTTAAGAGTTTCAGTCTCCTTGCATGGAGCCAGGAACGAGGAAGTGAAACAGCTGGTAAGGCGGTTTGTTTTCACAGATTCACACTTTGTTGAAAGCAGGAAACTCCATGAAGAGTTTTTCAGAAGCTAAAGCAAAAATGGCATCAAAGTGCACTTTTTATATCAAAAACCCACCAAAATGTCCACCGTGTTACATAAAGAATGACAGGGAGTCCATCTGTATATCTAAGATAATTTATTGAAAATCTCCCCTTACATATTAGGTGACCCTGTTTGTTTCGTTTGTGTGCTTCGCTACTGCCTCCACTCCAACATACCTTGCAGCCACAGTGCTGGAGTTTCTGATCACTGGACTTTTGCTGCTTTTCTACCAACTGAAACTCAACAAGAGGTTCACCTTCCTCTTTTGGCCCATCGTTGTAAGTAAACATTCAGCACACACCATTTTGTGTATTTCGTAACATTGATAGCAGCATAACCTGTTTAAATGTTCAGATCCTGATTGTCTTTATTTTTTTCTATTCTTTAGGATGTTTTCAATTCAGTGTTTGCAGCAGTCTACCTTATTGTCTTGAGCCTAATGGCTCTGACTTCATACCCTATCACAGGATCCCTGGTTGGAGGGGTGAGTGGTCCCTTTATAAATCAGAATTAGAACCAAGTTTGTGCAAGGATGTAGTGACTGTGCTTTGAATTAGCTTTACCTTAAACACATGAAGTGTTGCATCATTCTTCTGAGTACATTTCATCGACCAGAGCTGGCTGAAGACATGAACAGGATATGAGGCTATCAGTGCAGCTGCTCTCTGAAACAGGGGAGGTTCAATGGTGTTAATTAAATCCAAACATTACGTATTGCATTAACATTTTTGAAACACATAAAACCCATTACTACAACTGCTGAAAATAGCTGCTGTGAATCGCTCTGAAATAATAAACTTCGGCAAGAGTTCAGCACAAGATGACTTTTCTGACAGAATGATCACTTTTCCCTCATGAAGAAAACCTCTTCGCTGTCTAGCCAGTGTCAGTCAAATATCCTTAAGTACGTTTGGCAATAAGCATTGAGCAGCCAGCTTCATGACCCACCCCTGCTCCATAGACCCACTAAGAGGTTTAGCCTCATTGGAACTGACGCGTTTTTATCCAGTCAGGGCTCTACTTTCTCTCCTGCTTACCTCAACAGAACAAGGCTCAAACCTCAACAGGGATTTATCATAGAGGCTGGAAGGCAGCGCCCTGATGCTCCAGAGCGGAGGGGAGATTGAGTCAGAGAATGGAATAAACAACTGATTTTTGCACAGCATATGCATGAAATCAGGCACATTTTAGCACATATTCAGTGCAGTTTAATGACAATGCATATTTTAGCAAAAATTTTATGAAGTTCACAGGGGAGATTTGGCCTCCCTCATATTTAATGAGAAATTGCCACTAGGGGCTGTGCTAACAGTGCTCTCACTAACTGCTGTAAAGCTATGATGTTACATTTATCTTAAGATATATTATTTGCTCTTGACTAATCTTTGATTAGAAGCTTACCTCCAGGAAGTGATAAAAAAAAATTGAGCAGCATCTTCTTCAGGTAGGATATTGATTGCCCCTGACTTTTAAGCAGAACTCTATTAAACAAAAAATCAGGACAATTAATTTATGGAAACTCATTATTGACTAACCAAGTAACTTTAGGAAAAGCTAAGGTGAAAACTGATTAAAAAATGGTTTGATGTTAAAAAAAGATATAACAGATACATTAGTGATAAACGTTGGCCCTAAACTAGATTTAGAGGGAACATGAGGCACACTCTGAAAGTGGACTGTTGATTAAGGTTTTAAATGCTTTTATATCTTCAAAGTTTATAGTTCATATTAATCATCATCATCTTATTCAATTATTTAAATCATTTCCATCTTCTTTTTACTGAAAGATTGATGCTTAATTTTTTTGTTAAAACATCCAATGATGTGTTGTCCTATAATGTTGTGCTTCTTGTATCTGCTCTGTGTTTGCAGGCGGTGTGTCTAATATCAGCTGGACTTCTGTCTGCAGATGGCTATATGCTTTTCAAGAACATCACCTTCAACAAATCAAGAAATGAAACCAAGAATCAAACCAATGAATGAAAAGTAGCTTGTTTTAAATGAAAGAAGGCTCTAGAATGTAGAAACTAAAGTTTATCTGTTCTGTATGTGGAGATCATTTCACACTTATTGTTTTTTTCTGCTGCTCTTTCCTACACATATAAAAAACAATTAAAGTCCTTTCTTGCAATAGTTACACTAAATATTTAGTTGTGATATTTGTTACATTTTCTGTTACATAAACTGTACTATGCATTTATTGTCATGCTGGGCTTTAAGGTTCTGACCCACATGCAGAGACAACTTAAGAGCCAAGAGTAAAAGTTAAGAAGTTTATTGTGGTTTGCAAAACCACAGACAGAGATATACAGCTGGGTTACACAGTTGGACCTCAGCGGACTGGTGAACCGGAACCGGAAACTCTGAAGGGGAGATCAAAATGATCAGTTCAGGAACCATAGGAAAAAAAACACAAAAAACAACCCACACAAACTGGAATCCTAACATTTATAACTTAGCTTGAAGTTAAATATGCTGAAAAATGGCTCATGTTTGTAATTTCTTAGGGAAAAAATACATTAATATGAAACTTTTAAAACTAGGGCCGCGCAATATGGCTTAAAAGAATCTAGTCTCAGATTTTTTCCTACCAAATTAAAGTAATTGTTTTTTTCTCCCTTATTTTAATTATAAAAATTACAAATTAAACACATTACTTTCAAAAACCAGCTTGTATTTTATTTATCCTCTTTGGAAGATGACCTTCATTTAAAGGACAGAGAAATTCAAGCTGTGAAAATGCTTGTTAAAAATGTTTCACAACAAACGATGGAAACAAACGAAATGTTTGCAGCTAGTGATGTTACACAGTCAGCCAGTTTATCAGTTAGAGATACACATCTAGGAACAAAAAGTGATGAACTCATGTCACAATGATCTATGGAAGCCCTAGAAATGCATTAGAGAAAAGGAAAATCCAGATTTTCCAAAAATTCTATTGCATAAATAGAAAATTTGATTGATGGATTTTATCAGTTAATCACCCAGCACTATTTAAAACTCAAGGAAATTTAGAGAATAATATGACAACAAAAAGAGATAGAGATGGAGGTAAATGTGATTTAAAATTAAAAAATGGGCACTACAATAAAATGATTTGCTGTGATCCAGTCATTCAACAAATTAACGGGCGATGCTGACCTCCTTTATCATGTTTGGGTTTTCAAGATCAGTTTTGGATTCTTAGCATGGCACAACCATTGACAAATTATCAATGTTGCAGTTATAAATGCATAGATTGTTAAGAAAAGGGATCAAAAAGTCGATGCTAGGATAAAACATTGTGCTGCAAGCATGAACCTTCTATTGATCCTTCCTTCACCAGAGGAGGAGGTGGCATTTTTAACTGCTCTTCATTGATCTCTAATCCCACTTGTAGGTTAAATTGCTGCTGTGCTTAAAAAACGTAGGAGACAACAAGGAGCAGGCAGTGATTTGTCATATGGTTACTGTGTAAGTTGTTGGCTGTAGAGCACCATGAGAGCAGTTCAAGGCCCTCAAAAAAGGGCCGACTAGAGTACAAGGAGGTCACAAATTTAGTTGTACATTAAATATCATGTAATTTAGCAAATTTCTATTTGATAAAATGTGTTCAATGCAAAATGTGTATCTTCAAAGATGGAAAATGTTCATTTTAATATGAGTAGGGCACACCTTTCCATTAAACACGACTAAATACAGCAAAGGTTTCCGAAGAAGCCCACTTAAAGAGAAAAGTAACAATTTTTGTGTGCATGATTGTCCATGAATGCTTTTAATTAGCTAACTTCGGCCATGCGTGCAACATGGATACAACAGAACCTGCTGAAAAAAGAAAAGAAAAAAAACATCTACTTCTCAACTGAATATAGACAAAGTAAAATAATGAGAGAGGAGAAGCATTGATGATTTCTTTTGACATTTACTATAAGCTAAGCATAGAACCGATTTTATGTTATTCTTTGCAATTTGTAACAAACATACAACATGTACAACATAAAAATGTCTAAAAGACATCCAAAAAAAAAATCACATCTAAAAGATTCAATGAATGCATGTGGGTTGTCTTGTACCAGCTGCATTTTGGGGAAGAATTAAATTGAAGCTATGCTGCCTTGGATTAGCAGAGTTGGGTAGTAGCTACTTACATTTACTTACTTGCATGTTCTTAAGTAAATTCTTGACTTCTAGGAGTATTTTTATATTACCATAGCTTTTACTTAAATTAGTATTACTATGCTTGGGCGCTGTGGTGGTGCAGAGGTGGTACAGACACTTTGGTCCTGGATGCAGCCATCGCAGGTTTGAGACCTGACCAGATTGCCTGGATGTCTCCAGCCTCTCTATATTCCCATTTCCTGTCTACTTGCCTTCAAAAATAACCAAATAAAGGCATCTAGTGCCTAAAAACAATCTTTAGTATTACTTCTCTTGAGGCAATTTTCAATCTATGGAAGGTTACCTGCACAAAAATAGCTAACTTATTTTCACCAAAAATGCTTCAGTCAAGGAAAATTACAGCTTATGTTAAAAACCTTTTTTTTTTTTGTGTGTGTGTGTGTGTGTGTGTGTGTGTTTCTTTTTTTTTTTACACAGGTTTATATCTGCAGAGCTCAAACAGAGGTCAGGCTAATATACAGTATAGTTGGAGGTACCTTGTGCTGCTCTAACACCTATATGTGACCTGGATTCGTTTCATAGGTTTAAATATAATTTGTAAAAGTGTTTTTCTTCTACCTGAACGTGTTATTTTACAATTATATTATATATTTTTTTATTATCTTATTTTAAGTACTTATTGCCTAATACCGGTACTTATTTTATACTTTTACTTGAGTAGTACTTCAGTAGTAAATTTTAGTACTACTAAAATTTCAAACTTGATATAAATATCCAGAATTACATTTAATACTCGATACCTTTAAGAAAACCAGACTAAGAAAATGGATTTATTAAAAATAAAGACTTAAAACTATGTTTAAGGGTTGAAGAATCTAAAATGAACAATAGCAAAAATATGCAAAAGCAAGTCTTTAATGTTGTTTACTGGTGTGAACTGGCAAGTATTTGGCAATGCATTATGTATCATTATACATGTGTCACAATGCAATTTATTCTGATCTATCCAGATATGTTAGCAAAGACGATGTATAGCACTTTTTATAATAATGAAGCTCTGCTGCTGTCAGTTAGGACTAAGGATTACATAAAAGTATTTTAATTAAATGGGTGTTTGCCATAATATTTCTTTCCATTCAACTGTATTTCAAATATATACACTGAAAATAATTATGCAACCGCTTTTGGCATTTACTTAATCATATTTAGTTACTTTAACGTAATTGTTTTATGTCCTACCCTGCTATTGTGAAACGCTTGTGTTAAAGAAAATAAATATGATTAAGTAAATGCCAAAAGTTGTAGCATTATTTTTTTCAGTGTACAAGTATCATTCAATTAAGGATATTTAACAGGATATATTCCACCTTACACCCATACTATCAATACCATTCTGAATAAGTATTGTATCTGGATAGACCTGGATCTTGGCCAGGTCTCTCTTAAAAAAGAGATTTTAGATCTCAACAGGACTAACCTGGTTAAATAAAGGCTAAATAAATACTACTACTACTAATAATAATAATAATAATAATGAAGAGAGTATCCATAACTTTTTAAGTATAGGTGTTTTTGACAACCCTATAGGTGTGTATAAATCCATTGAAGTAGTTTTACTCCCAGGGGCAGAGCTAGATGGCTATGGCCACGCTTAGCCAATCATTGGCCACCCTTACCATTTTTCCCCCTCTATACAGATGGTGGCTAGCCTGGGTGCCATTCCGAACTTAGTCCCGCCCACAATGTTTGAGGTCGGGAAGTACGGTCTGGCATTGCTCAATAGTAGAGTGAGTATGCTTGCACAAGATCTGGCGGGCCAATCAAATTGTCAGGGCGGGCTTTATACGATGATGGACAGATGATCAACAGTAACGTAATCAACCACGTCACCAAAGCTCGCTTGGGTGACAACAACAATGGCTGCCGCTGGAGAGTTGGGGTGTGTAGATTCTGTTATTAGGTCTGTTCTAGAAGATATCGACAGCAAATTAATTTTAAAAGAGGAACAGAGAAACGCGATCAAGGCTCATCTTCTTATTCTAGGCGTGCAACTGCACGCTTTGATTTTTGTTGACAACAACTATGCGTCGCTTAACATACGTCACGCACTCCGTTGCTCTTATTGGTTGTAGGTCTATCCAATTGAGTGCAGAGGCATTTTTTTCCTGGTTCGTTCGAAACACGCCCCATAATCACAGCTCTATGGAGCAGTATCAGACTCATATTCTGACTAGAATTGAGTAGGACTACGTCAGGCTAGATGGTGGCAGCAGTAATACTCTCAAATGGAATATTCATTTAATTTTTTCATATATTACAATTTTTTCTTGACAACAAAATCTCTGTGGTTAATTATACACATCAATATAATAAAATTAAAGATGAGTACAGAATTCCTGCTCTTTTCAGAACTAGATTTTGTGTTATAAGGGATAAAGAGAAAACAATGTGTCTCTGCAAGTAATCTAGGAGTCTTCAGGGAAATCATATATAAATATCTTAATTTTAATAATAATTTAAATAATTATTTAAATTCTAATTATAAAAAAAATTTTAAATAATCAATTTATGTAGATATTAGTACTTGTAAATATTATTTTTATGCAATGATTATCGATAAAAGTATATAAGTAATGACAATGGAAAAGATGTTCGCCCCAGAACTCAAACCTGAAAGTATTTTATCCACTATACCTTTTATCTAGAAAGCACGGATGTTTAAATATACCGGTATGCATCTATTTGTTAGCAAAGGCTGTGGGAAAGTATAGTAAGTCTTATCTTTGGCTTGACCCTGAGGTTTTGGTGCCTGTCTACTTCCGGCCACCCCTCAGTGTATATTGGTTATTGCCTGGCCACCCTTGTAAAAACTTTCTGGCTACGCCTCTGTTTACTCCTACTAAGTATTGGATTGTGGTGAATCGTGACATTCACATCTGTTCTAAAAGTTCACTTTGGCTTAATGTTGCTGAACTGTACCAATAAAGATTGTTTCCTCTAAGGGGTTGGAGGGGCGTCCTTATGCAGCTGCAGCGGGCATCACATTTCACATCTGGAGAAGGCAGATGTGTCTCAGTTTTTGGAGCTCTCACTGAATTTCCGCGCTGTCATTATTTCCGTTTCCACATCTTCCCCCTCCCAGCCTCACGCCCCCGACACGGTTTTCTGTCTCTTTTTTTTTTGGTTTTGCTTTGCTTTGAGCCCCAAACATCCAACTCGGAGCCTTCAGCAGCTTGAGGAGAGATTTACACCAGTCAACAATGGGGGACATCGAGGCGCCCGACTCGACCCAGTCGCGCCAATCCGTCCTGAAGTCGGTCCTTCCGAGCAAAGAGTTCGCTACTTCAAGAAAAGGAATGCTGCTTATTGGTGAAGTGGTAAGAAATGAGAGCGGGTGACCAGCCTATCCAATGAAATATGCCGTTACGCACAGGGTTTGGCGCGTTTGGAGAGTTTGTTAAACAGTGGTAGAAAATAAAAATAAACATTTTTTTTGGTCCCATTTGTGAATTTAGGTATTATCTTTTGTTATGAATATCAAAAAGTGTGTGGACTTTTAATGTTTTTTACTTTTTTAATTTTTTGGGGGGGCGGTTACCAGAAAGTAGATCCTTTAGACATTTCCGCTTCAACAGCTTCCCAGCCCAGAGATAGTGAGCTATTATAGTTTTTTTTTTTTTTTTCCAACAAAGAAGTTAATTGATTGATAGAGTCGCAGGAGGGGGCGTATAGGGTGAGGCAGGAAATGATCATAAGCATCAGGACTTTAGGGGTTACTTGTGATAATTGCGCACACACAGTGCTGTATCCGTGTAGTCATGTGATGCTGGAGAAAAGTTATCCTCCCCCTCAGTCACATCCTTTACATCATGGCCTGGAGCTCAGTGTGCTTTAATCACACACATTAGGCTTCTTCACAAAGAGCTGGATCTGCATCTGTCTATAAAAAAAAGACGTGTCTGTTAAGGGAAGTCCTATCTTTATAGTTAGCAATCATGTAAGCATCTGTTGCAGAGGGTTGATGCGTTTGTGGTGCTTGCATTGTGGCTAAGTGCTGCAAAAAGATATCACCTCTGAGAAATCTTCAAATAAATAAGAGCAAAAGCATAATGCATTTATTAAAAGCACAACTTTGGTCATGAGATGTGGCTCGAGCAGGGGCGGAGCTAGATGGGGGGCCAGGGAGGGCCATGGCCACCTTTAGCCATATTACCATTTTTTTCTCTCAAGTAGAATATTCAAGTTACATTTTGTATATATTAACAATAATTAACAAAAACACTGTGGTTAATTATGCACATCAATATACTAACATTAGAGATGATTACTACAGAATTCATGCTCTTTCAGAACTAGATTTTGTGTTATATGCCGTAAAGAGAAAATGATGCGTCTCTGCAAGTCATCTAAGAGTCTTCAGTGAAATCATAGATACTGTAAATAACTATTTTAATAAAAAACTATTAAATTATCAATTTATGTAGATATTAGTACTTGTAAATATCAATTTAATGTAGAATGATGTTAATAAAAGTAGGTAAGTAATGACGATGGAAAAGATGTTTGCTCCAGAACTCAAACCTGAAAGAATTTGATCCAATATACCTTTTATCTAGATGGACATTTAAATATATGCATCTATTTGTTAGCAAAGGCTGTTTGGAAACTATAGTTTGTCTTTATTTAGAAATATGGACGTTGCGCTTGTTCCTGTGGGACAGTGTAGATTGATCCTGAGGTTCTGGTGGCTATCCACTCTCGGCCACCCCTCAGTATACATTGGTTATTGCCTGGCTACGCCTCTGGGCTCGATCAACGTCATGTCTGTGGGTTGAACGGAGAAAAGGTTATTTTAACTCAGAAATGTTTTGTCAATGATACAATCACCTCAACATTGTGGCTAAATTGTCTTGTTTCCATTCATTTGGAAGTGTTACAGACAGAAGACAAACTTTTTTCTCTCTGGACTCCCTATGTATGACATTGTATTACTCATAGAGATATCAATGGTATTTCTAGGCCAAACTGAACATTCTTCACTGTACGGATCAGGAACACTTTAAATTCCCATTAAATTCAGGACAGAGTAAGCTATGTCAAAATGTCTACTTTACATCTTGATTAAAACTGTGATTTATCTGATTTTCAGATTCTTTTATATTTTGCATTTTTTTCTCCACTGCAAGTTTGCCGAAATTGCTATTAGAAGTAGAACTTCAGTTCATTTTTATTGTAACTGGGCTTTTATTACTGTAGCTTCCTTGGTTTTCATAAGTGGTGTTAAATGAAATATGTTCGTTTTAATGAGATATTTTTCAAACGTATTGTTTGTTTTAACATTCTACTGTCCCCTGACATAGGTTTGAATTGTGGCAGAACCTTCTAATTGTCGCTCATCTAAATAAGCTGGATTTACAGTTGGCTTAAAATTAGCCCACTGTTACTAAACTAATATGGGTGAGAGGCCTGAGTTAAGCATATCGCTGGTAGCCTCTGTCTGAAAACCTGCTGAGCAAGCATTATTACTCACTGTGTTACTGTTAGACTGGCTGGTTTTTCCTTAGGTTTCCAAAATGCCATCATCAAAAGATTTATTCTTGAAAATCACTGTTTTAAGGTGTTGTAGAACACTTTTTACCCCATCCAAATCCAATGGAGGTATTGTTTCTCATAGCGTACACAAAGAAAGAAAAGAGTGAAGCATTTACAGTATATACTCCAGTCGTGTTTAACAAAATCATTGATACAAGCAGAAATTGCAGAGGAGGGTCTCACCATCTACCTGGCCCTTGCGTCTTCGGCAATTTCAGGGGAAGAACCTACTGAAAAAAGCAGAAAGTTTCTGCACACTTTCCCTTTTTATCTAAAAGTCAGCCAGGAAGTCTCCTTCCCAAATGACCCCAGTCAGCATCTAGGGCTTCTCACACAGCTCACAGCATTATCATATAAGATAGTGCTAGAGTCATTCTGGCCACCATATGCCAGCAAAGGAATGTCCATTTTGCCTGACCCACACAGAAGAGTGAACAGATATAGAAATGAAAAGATGTAACCGTTATTTAAAACAGAAAATAAAGAAATTAATCTTAAAACAAGGACATATTGGGGAGTGGTTTTAAAACTGCAGAATGAGAGGAATACTGAATTCTGATCAAAACCTTCCCTGTATCTATCATCGTACCTATCATTAGGATTCCTGCCATATTAGAACGAGGGTGTAATTCAATTTAAAAAGCAGTCTTTCTTTAATCTTGAAAGATTACAAAACAAAGAGCTGCAGAAAAAAAAAGAGGAATTTATTAAGGATCTTTGCAAATCCACACAAATTAAAAACTTCACAAACAGGCTCAAAGAAAAAGATTCAGCCTAAGTAGTTCAAAACCTACTGTCAGGTGATTTTAAAAAAAAGTAAAAGATGTGAAAGAAACAGACGCTCAAACTGACAGCCTTATCTGGGCCTGGAACAAGATAATTTAATGGGCCCACACCCAAGGCATTCTGTCACTAGAGGACAGTGATTTGTTATATTTACTATCTGAAGATTGATTAATACTGCATTCTGTCTCCTTCTTTATTTTCTCATACTCCCATCTGCTCCATAGTTTGTATTTTCTATAGTTTCCCCCTCTTCAAACAGAGTTTAGATGATATTCCTGCAGCTGAAATTAGCTGTTCAATACGTTGTTAAATGTAATAATTTAGGTAAAACTGGAAATATATATCAGATAATTTAATATTTAAGTATATTTTAGGTCTCAATTTATTACCTTATAAAGTAATAAAATTTGGGATTTGAAAAATAAAAATGTTATCATAAAGCTACATTTTGCAGGATGGTTTATGTTTCATCACTGTTTTGCTCGCTGTGTTAAATTACATCATATAAGCTGCTGCACTGTGTCACCAAATAAATGCTGGCTGATACCAGGTAACTGGAAACCTGGCATATGTGCAATTCATTCTGAAATCTACAAGTATCGACCTGGAAATCCTCCTGTGGAAAGTGTTCACAAAAGTGGAGGCACATCAAGTACAATTCTTTAAGTTGATCGCGTACCTCCATCCCCTGTCGAGTTTTTAGCCAATCACAGCAGAAGTAGCAGCTGCAACGTATCACATCTAGGCCTGCAACAACGAATCGA